TGAGGCGCTTTGATGCCAGAACCACAAGGCGGGCGGGGGGTGGGCGTTACGTTATGCCCCCCCATTCCAGAATGCCCGTTATGATCGCGAGTATGTAACTGCGTTCTTTTTCCATCGCGCCGATGAAGACATCCCAGGAGCTGTTTCCTAACTCCTCCCTCGTCCCTCCTGGTCATCATCCTTCCCGTCCCCCATCATCCTCCCCGTCCTCAGCGCTCATTTCCTCCTGCTCCTCCGTCGCCTCCGTCCTCCTGCTTCTCCTTCTCCTCCTACTGCATCTCCTCCTCCTCTTCCTCCTCTTCTCCTCCTCCTCCTGCTCCTCGCTTGCTTCTCCCCTCCTCATCCTCCCGTGGGGGACGCGACGCGCGCCCAACCCCCCCACACCCAGAGCGTCGCTCCAAAGAGACGCTACTCCTCCTCCTCCTCATCCTCTTCATCCTCCTCATCATATACGGTGAGCATCTCGAGCTCCGAGCTGCTGCATCGCACACTCTGGCGCAGCACCTGGCACGCACGTCCGCAGCTGCGTGCGATGCTCCTCCTCCTCCTCCTCCTCCTCCTCCTCCTCCTCCTCCTCCTCCTCCTCCTCCTCCTCCTCCTCCTCCTCCCCCTCCCCCTCCCCCTCCCCCTCCCCCTCCCCCTCTTCGTTTTCTGCGCCTGAAGTCTCCGCTCCTCCCGCCGCTCTCCCCATCGCCCCCCCGACGACCTGGCGGCGCCTCCAACGGCCCGCGGCCACGACGCCCGCCCCCCCCCCCCCTGGCGGCGCGCCCCTCCCCCCGCAGGACGACCAGGTGCGCAAGCTGGAGGAGACCCCGGGCGCGGGGTGGACCCTGGCTTCAATTAGGAGGGAAAAAACACACAGACACAATTCATCGTCGATTCCCCAGAAAATATAGTAAAATATGGGAAGTGGGGGGAAGACAAAACCCCAGAAAATGAAAGGAATTTTGTTATTTGTGTCTATTTATTTGTGTGTCCCAGTTCCCCTTCATTTAAGTCGGGCTCGTCCCTCTACAGGAGGGATATTCAAAAATAGCAAAAAAGTAGTCCTGGGGACGATTTTTCTATTATTTTTGACCACTAAGTTTGGAGCATGTTTTTTGACTATGTTTAATTGTTCGTCGACAGTCCGCCTGTAGGGGGACACGCCCGACCTAACCCTGGCTTTCCAGAACCAGAGCTCCAACGTGCTTCGGGCGGGGCTGGGACGAGGATGCATCCGGTCCAGAGCGTCCCGGAACGCTCTCAGAGCGCGCCGGAAGGCTCTGAGGAGGCCGTGGCGCCCGAGAGGTCCTCCAGAGCCGCCGGATCTTGGAGGATCCCGATATGATCCTCACCCGATGTTGCCCTCGTCCTGGCTTTGCCTTGCCTGGCTTTCCAGACTCATACCTCCAACGTGCCGAAGAGCGAGTCGGAGGCTTCTCGCCGGCTTCGGTCTCCGGGGGGCCCTCGTCGGGCCCCCAGAGTGTCAGGAAGCCACTCGGGACAGCAAGCCAGCGCCGGGTACAGGGTCAGGACTTCCAGGGGCCCCACGTTGGAAAAAACTGAGTCGTTGGGTTTTGGGGGACTGCCGGCTTGCGGTGGAGACGCTGGTGTAGGTGCTTTACGCTCAGGTCGGGCCGTGGGTTTCGTTCGTGGCAGTTCCTTAGATTTGGGTCGAGTGGTCAGAGAAAAGCCCGTTCGTGCCCTAGTGTAGTTTTCCGTAGGGTAGCACGATGACTGCTACCGTTCTGCTCCGTGTTCCCTGGCTCCCTGGCATCAAATGCCCTGGCTTCCAGCACAGCCCTCCAGATTCATGATTACCCTGCCACTGCTTTCTGCCCCTTGGTCCCCTGAGGTCATCGCGCCGTGAACGAGCAGATCACGACGGGAGGCTCCTGGCACTCCTTGTCCTCTGGGGGCCCTCACCAGGCCTCGTGACCGTCACGACACGACTCGGAGGGACCATTGGGTCCTGGGAGGTGGTCCACATCTCTGTCGGGGGCGGCAAAGGGGGGGGGGATGACTGGGGGGGGGATCTCATGGTGGGGGCCATGATATCTCCCCAGATTTCATGGTGCTCCTTCTTCTTTCATTACGTCCCTGGCCCCCCCTGGGCTGCGCACATGCCCCCGGCCATGGTTTGCGTTCCTCCCTCTTGGACGCGATTCTGGGGATCCACGCTGCGAACAATTCACGACGTCGGAGGTCTAGGCCTAGAGTTTTCAGAGTGCTAAGTCATTATCCTTACGTCGGGCCTGTCCCTCTACAGGAGGAATCTTCCCAAATAGTCCAAAAACAGTGTGGGGACGATTGTTTGAGCATTTGTTGAGACTTGTTTGAGCATGTTCGGTGTATTTTTCATTTTTCGTCCAGAATCCCCATGAGGGGGACAGGCCCGACTTAATGCTGAATCAGCATCCCTCCAAAATCCTACCTTGTGCCCTTCGGCCCTGGCGTCGGAGTGTGCTCAAGCAGGGCGTCCCCGCCGGTATTCGGGCCCCGGGGTGCCTGCGGATGGATCTGGCTTGGAGCAGTGGCGCAGAAAGTGGGGCCGAGGGCCCCGGTCGTGATTTCTGACTACTTCATTGGCGCGGCTTTCCGTCGAGCCGCGCAGCCGGGGTCGGCGGTTCTCCTCTTCCTCATCCTCCTACCCTCGTCCTCCCTCTCTTCCTCCTCCTCCTCCTCCTCCTCCTCCTCCTCCTCCTCCTCGTCCTCCCCCCGCCCCCTGGTCGACAGGGAGGGGGCATCGCATTGAGTGGGGCGCCAGCCCTAGGCGGGGTTATCAGGGGCAGCGACAGGCGAGGACAGGCTCGGGGGGAACGCAGCGACCTCCAATCGCCCACTCAACACCGACAGCGGCCCGAGAGGCCACTCCGCCCGGGAACGCACGATTTCGCCATCGGCGGCTATCGCCGATCCAGCTCCGTGGTCCCCCCCCCCTGAACCGGTGACGCTCGATCGTTCTTCCGCAGGTCAGGGAGCAAACCTGGCTTGACGCCGACGTTTCCACTGTCCAGGGGCGGCCCAGAGCGATTCCTTCTCAGGCCCCACCTCCGCCCCTACCCTTCAGTCGGGCCTGTCCCTCTACAGGGGGAATATTCAAAAATAGTCAAGAAAAAGGTCTGGGGACCATTTTGTTGAGTATTTTTGAGCATTCTTGGGGTATGTTTAGGGTATGTTTAATTTTTCGTCGAAGATCCCCCTGTAGGGGGACAGGCCCGACCTAACCCTACCCCACCTTCACGCCACCCCCCAGTCGGGGAAGGGGACCGCGCACCGATCGCCGCTCCTGCCCGTGCGGAGGGCCTTGCCCGCGAGGACCGAAGGGACCTCTCTTCCTCGGCGGAAGCTTGGCGGAAGCTCGGCGGAAGGCGGCGGACGTACAGTCAAGACGTTGAAGTAAGGAGCAGTTTGGGTTCGGAAGGGGCTCGATGTTCCTCAGCTTCCTCCAGTGCTGTTCCTCCTGCCCTCCTGGGGCACGGAGGCGCTTACAGGGCCAAGAAGGGGCTTCGTTCCTTATCTAGCGTTCCTTCTTTCGGCGGCCGACTGTACAGCGAGGCCGCCTCCGCCGGCGGAAGGCCGGCGCAAGGCCAGCGGAAGGCCAGCAAATGTGCATCCCCGAGGGGCGACAGCGCTGTCGCCCCTCCGCACGGTAAGTCGGGCCTGTCCCTCTGCAGGAGGAGTATTCAAACATGGTTCTCACAAGCAGTTGCCCATTTCTTAAAAGTTCAAGAATAGTTTTAACTCACATGGTTCAATACAACTGTTCAAACATAGTTGAAACAAAGTTCAAACATAGTTCAAACACAGTTTTAAACATAGTTCAATCATAGTTTTTTTAACAAAAACATAGGGGACTATGTTTGACAATGTGTTGAGCATTTGTTTTACATGTTTTGACTATGTTTCGATGGTCGTCCAAAATCCCCCTGTAGGGGGACATGCCCGACCTAAGGCTAGGACGAGGATAACTCCGTTCCCGAGCGCTCACGGAGCGCTCCAGCACGCTCCGAGGAGGCCGCGGCGCCCGAGGTGTCCTCCAGGGCCGCCGGACCTCAGAGGTGCTCGACCGATCCCCACCCGATGTGGTCTCCTCGTCCTGGCCTCGTCTTGCCGTCGGGCCGAGATGCGTATAGCATCGAGGTCGGTGCGGGGAGGGATGTCCCTCGTGCTTGCTGGATGCTCTCGTGCGGCCTGGAGGAGGGTGCCCAGGGGGTGCTCGTCAGCTTGGCCAGCGGAGGGTCTCGTGCTCTCGAGGGATGTGATTCTGTTCCAGGGCCAGCCGTGCAGCTCGTCGCTCTCGAGGGCGCCATGGGGTGCTCGTCCGCTTGGCCAGCGGAGGGTCTCGTGCTCTCGAGGGATGTGATTCTGCTCCAGGGCCAGCCGTGCAGCTCGTCGCTCTCCGGCCCTCGTGGAGCCACTTCCACCCGCGAGGCCGGCTCGGCGCCGCGGCGCCTCCCGCGGGAGGTGCGGGAGGCCGCGGCGCCGAGGCATCCTCCCTCCTCCCTCCTCCCTCCTCCTCCTTCTCCTCCTCCTCCTCCTCCTCCTCCTCCTCTCCTCCTCCTCCTCCTCCTCCTCCTCCTCCTCCTCCTCCTCCTCCTCCCCCTCTCCTCCTCCTCCTCCTCCTCCTCCTCCTCCTCCTCCTCCTCCTCCTCCTCCTCCTCCTCCTCCTCCTCCTCCTCTCCGGCGCCGGCGGGGCCTCAGAGACGCTCGACTTACAGTGGGGGCCCATGCCAAGAAGCACCCGGCTTGCCTCCAGGGTGCCCTGGGTGTCCTGGGTCTCGATGGTTTCGCGCCCTGGAAAAATCGTGACGCTCCCGCCCCAAGAATCGACGGACGCCCTGGGGTCTCGGGGTTGGGTTTCCTGTGGCAGGTCTCCTGCGGTCGGGCCCCCACTGTATCCCCACCCGACGTTATCCTCGTCCTGGCTTCGTCTTACCACTCGTCGCTCCTCCTTGTCTTTTGGGGCCACTCCCATGCGCGCGGCCGGCTCGGCGCCGCGGCGCCTCCCGCAGGAGAGGCTGGCGTCCAGCGAGCGGGCCCGCCTTCAGGCGAGCAGGGAGGCGGAGGCGGCGAAGGCGCCGCTGCTGCCGTCGGACGCCGTCGGCGTCGTCGGCGTCCTCGTCGCCGTCGTCGGACGTCGTCGTCGTCGTCGTCGTCGTCGTCGTCGTCGTCGTCGTCGTCGTCGGACGTATTCGTCGTCGTCGTCGTCTTTGTCGTCGTCGGACGTCGTCGGACGTCGAGGTCGTCGGACGCACGTCGTCGTCGGATCTCGGTGGTCGTCGGACGTGGGGCGGGCGTCGGACGTCGCCGTCGCCGTCGTCGGGAGTCCTCGGACCATCTCGGGCTTCGTCGGACGTCGGACGTCGAGCGTCCTCGTCGTCGACGTCGGACGTTGCACGTCGGGCGTTGGACGTCGAGCGTTTGGCGCGTCGCCGTCGTCGTCGTCGTCGTCGTCGTCGTCGTCGTCGTCGGTGGACGTCGGCGGTCGCTGTTGTCGGCGGACGTCGGCGCTCGTCGGATGTCGTCGGGCGCCGTCGTCATCGCCGGAAGGGGGAGGGGGGGGTCCGAAGTGGATGGTGTGGAGGGAGGACCCGCATAAAGCAATCGCACACTACAGGTTATGCCACCACCTTCCTGTACCAAGCCCCATATTGTCAAATGACCAGGCTCATGCGGAGTGTTTGTTGGGAAGGCCGGGGCCATTGGGGCGTGCCGCAGGCTCAGGACATAGGATGGTGGAAAAGGCGGTGCTCCTTCCAGAGGATTTGGGCTCTGCACCGAACGCGTGATACGGCGGACCCCGGCGGCCTTGCCACCGGAGATCCAGGGGCAACGGTCGCGGATAACAGGCTCGGGGGGAAGCGCATCGACCCCCAGTCGCAAATTCCTCACCAACAGAGGCCTCATAGTCCACCCCGCCCAGGAACGTGCGGTTTCGCCATGGGGGGCTTTCGCCCCACGACCCCGTGGACATGACTTTAGTGTTATGTCGGGCGTGTCCCCCTACAGGGGGATTTTCGACGAAAAATAAGAAATACCCCCAGACTACTTTTGGATTTTTTTTTATTTTTGGGATATTTTTGTTGGTTCGTCGAAAATCCCCCTGTAGGGGGACAGGCCCGACTTAACTTTAGTGCGCGCCCTGGCCACAATCCCGAGGCGGTCCAGCCGCCGTCGCAGGGGCGCCCTGGGGTCGAGGGTGCGCAGAAAAGGGGGGTTCGGAGCAGGTGGAGCTGTGGAGCGCAGTCCGGAGCCGCCCAGGGCGACAGCTTCCCCCTCCAGGAGCCGCCCAGAGCCGTGCTCCTCTCGACCCCACTCGCAGGCGCCCGCAGGGAAGCGGCGTGAGGGAGGCGGGCTCCCGAGACGGCGGCGAGGCTGAGCCTCTCCGCCTGGCCGGCGGGCGCTGCGCGTCGCCGGACTGCATGCGGGGCCCTCCCGGCCAGCTGCTGGGGGCCGTCCGCGCAGGCCGTCGACGGGCCGCGGCTGCCCTGTGCGGCAGAGGTGGCGCGGGCACCGCCACCAGGCCTAAAACGACGCGAAGATCGGGACAAAATCGGATCGGGATAACTCGAAGTCTCTGAGAATCGGCGGGTTTGGAGGATGTATTGGGCGCCGCGGCCGCTCTGAGAGCGCTCCGGAACGCTCTGGAGCGATTTATCCCGATCCTAGCCCTGTTTTAAGGCCTGGCCAGGGCCATTCCTGGAAGAAGAAAGAGAAGAGGAGCAGCCCGCCCAGTTTCTATAGAGGCCTGCTTGGGAGGCCTCCGGGGGGCCGTCCACGCAGGCCCCCCGCCTTCCGAGAAGCCCCCCTCCGCCCTCCAGAGGGGGGCGGCACCGCCCCCAGGCAAAAGGCCCAGCCTGGCATCATTCAAACGTGCGTAGTTTTCCTCGGTGAGGCCCATCGAGGAGCATGTTGGATCATCTTGCGAGAGAGAGAGGCGCGCGAAACCGACAAATGCACAGGGAGCGGGCGCAGCGATGGCGAGCCGACGGACGTCGGAAAACCCAGGTCCTCGACCTCGAGATTCCAGGGCGGGGCGCGCGTGCGTCGGGAGCGAGCGAGCGTCGTCGGCGTCGCCGCAATCGTCATCTTCGTCGTCGTCGTCGTCGTCGTCGTCGTCGTCCCTCCGAGCCAGAGGCGGGCGTGGAGGAGGGCGCGCGTGCGTCGGGAGCGAGCGAGCGTCGTCGGCGTCGCCGCCATCGTCGTCTTCGTCGTCGCCCCGCCGAGCCAGAGGCGGGCGTGGAGGAGCTCTCGGCCCGGGCGGACGAGCTGCGCCGCGCCGGCGAGGGGACCGCGGGCGACCACCGGAGGAGCCTGGGGCACGGCTTGAGTCGGGCGCGCCCCTCTGCAGGAGGAAGATTCGAAGATAGTCCAGAATGGGGACGATGACTTCGACGATCTCTGATCATCCTGGGGTGCCTCTCTGGCCAGTTTTCCACTGTGCCTCCGAAATCCGCCTGTAGGGGGGGACACGCTCAACCCGAGGCGCGGCCCGAGATGACGGCGGCGAGCACCGGGAGGCAGGGCTCCCCGGGTGCAGCGACAAAGAAGGGAGGGGGAATAGGCACGGGGGGGCGACGCATCGACCCCCCATCGCCCGTGGACCGCCGACGGGGGTCCGAGAAGGCCCCAACCACGCCCAGGGAGCGCGCGGATCTGCCGTCTGGGCCCATCGCCGATCCATCGGCGATATATATATATATATATATATATATATATATATATCGCACATGCCAGGTCGAGGTTCCCTCTCCAGGCCAGCCCCCCCTATCGTTGCCCCTCAGCTCCGGGAGGAGGAGGAGGAGGAGGAGCAGGAGGAGGGGAATCAGAGGAAGGAGGTCCCAGCAATGTCAGCCCCAGAGTTATGAGAGGGGGGACCCCCCCCCCCGTCCTCTCCGAAGGGGGGGGGGGAACTGTTGCCCCCTCGCTTCCCCCCTCAGCTGCATAATTGTATAAGTGTTCCCCCCTCGGTATTGTGGCCCCCAGCCGGCGTTTCCGTTGTTGATGTTTGCTCATTGGATGCCGTAATTTCCGCATTGCGAACGACGAGATCGGTTGCTACCGATTTTGGTTCAAATGGTATCGAGCCGGTCGCGACCGATTTTGGAATTGGTCGCTATCGGTCGCGTCCGATGTGGTGTGCAGATCGGTCGCTACCGATCGCGATCGAAAAAATTGTATTCAATGAGATGGGGAGGCAAGGGGTCAGAGGAGGAAGGTCCCGATTCGGTCACCCTTCCCATTTGCTCGTTTTTGGGAGCCTTTTGGAGGCTCTCGCCGCCACAGCTGGATTCCCTACGCCATTCGGGTCAGAAGTCACCCGAGCAGAGGTCACGGGAATCTACCCTAACATCCTCGCGTCGACAACATAAATCACGACGCAAAGTGTTGGCAGTTCTCGGCCTCCATGGGCCCTCGCCGGTCCCAGGGGCCGTCAACAAATCATTCCGGGTGGGAAGACGGTCCCTTTGGGAGGGGATCCAGACCTCTGGGGGTCCACGTGTTGAAGAAGCCCAGACCTTGGATCTCGTGGATCTCTGGGTACACCAGGCTGGGGAGGCCAACGGGGGCGACGGCGACGGCAGCAGGAGGTCGGAGAGGCGGGAGAGGAGGCCCACACGTCGGAGGCGCCGACGGGCGTGGGACTGGCTCGAGGGGGCAGCGTCGGCCCCCCCAGGCGCCCACTCCCTGCCGATCTGGACCCGGGTGCCCCAATCTGCCCAGGGAGGTGGGAGCTCCTCCTCGTCCTCCTCCTCCTCCTTCTCCTCCTCCTCCTCCTCCTCCTCCTCCTCCTCTTCCTCCTCATCCTCATCCTCCTCTTCCTCCTCCTCCACCTCCTCCTCCTCCTCCTCCTCCTCCTCCGCCTCCGCTCATGTCGGGTATTGGCGCGAGGCGTGCTCGCTGCCTCCACCGCGCGCGCCCCCCGTCTCCCGACAGGGCGGCCCGCGCGCCCGCTCCGATCTGTCGGCGGTGGATCGCGTCGATTCTAGGCCATTGTGTTCCTCCCTTGGCCAGTCCCCCACGTTTCGGCCCACCCTCCGCCTGCCAGCGAGCAGTAAGAGGGGGGGGGGGGCAGGCGTGTGCCGATCATGCGGAAGGACATCGCGAGCAGAAGAGCGTGCGCGAACGGCAGCTCCCCAGAGACTTCAAAAGGGCGACGCTGCAGAGAGTGATCACGCGCACGCGGGCACTCGGCCGCGAAGCAGAAACGAAGCGGCGCGCAACGACTGCGACGTAGAGAACGGAGCTCCTCACGACTGCGCCTCGGAGGCGCGCCCAGGGAGGAACGCACGCAGGGGGCAGGCCAGGAGGAGGCTCTGAAGGCCTGCGGCCTTCTGAGCAGCGTCCTCTAGGCCTGCTTCGAGGACAGAGGTCTCCTCAAGAGGCCAGAGGGCTTCTGAGAAGCCCCGCCGCCTTCGAGAATGCCTGCCCTCCTCCTCCTCCTCCTCCTCCTCCTCCTCCTCCTCCCCCTCCTTCCTCCTCCTCCTCCCCCCCCCTCCTCCTCCGCCTCCTCCTCCTCCTCCTCCTCCTCCTCCTCCTCCTCTTCCTCCTCTCCCTCTCACTCCTCCCCCCCGAGCGCGCGGCCGTTTGGAGCAGAAAACGGAGGGTCCCACGACTGCTATAATTACCCTCCACGAGTTGGGCCCCCGGGGCTTCGCGCTGCCCTGGCGTCGCGGCCGCGCTCGGGCAGGCCCAGGGCCCAGATCCCCGACGATAGTCGCAGGCAAGGTTTCTTCCCCACCCCCCGAGTTCCGCCCGAAAAGTGTGGCCGCTCAGGAAAAGGGGGGATTACCAGCCTGGAACATATCCTTATCCCTATGCTGGGCACCTCCTCATCACGACGCCAATCTTAGGGATTCCCTTATTTTTTGAGGGCGAATCCCTAAGATTGTCATCGCCTTTTGGCGTGTCAATCTTAGGGATAGGGATACGTTCGAGGCTGGTAATGGGAACTCTGGGGTACACCCCAAGGGGGCCATACGGACGCACCCCATATCGAGGGTGGACCCCCCCTCATCCGTATATCCCCAGGGCTGGCTCCCAGAGTTCTGTTCCATTCGAACACCCCGCGAAGTCTGGGATACGGGTCGACGTATCCCCTGGTAGATATGATTTTAGCGGTATCCCGTCGGTTTCCCTCGGGCCCTGGAGCCATCAAACCTTGACCCAGAGCCACGATCTACCTCCCGGGAAGGGGCCGGGACTCTTGCTCCGGGGCCGCGCATTGACAAAGACATACAAAGACGCATCGCCAGATGTCTCCGATGGGGCGAGCTCGTTTTCCGCCGAGAGAAACAGGGTGGGAGGAGGGGGAAACCCAAAACTCAAGACTTACCGAGGTTAGCCTAACCCGAGTTGGTCCTCCTCTGGGCCTCGCCCTGCGAAACAGAAAACGCGGGGCGGTCCTCCTCTGCCCCGCGCGCTCGGCCGCCCGTGCTTTTTTTTAACGGGGCCCACGGGAGGGCCGTGCGGGCACCATCCGGAGGTCAGCTCTTGACGAGGCGTGGTGCACCGCCGGGTGCCGGCCGGGGCCTCCAGACCCAGGCCCCTCTCGGGACCTCGCAGAGGTGAAGTCGGGCTTGTCCTTCTACCGGGGGGATATCCAAAAATAGGCAAACGATCGTCTGGGGACGGTTTATTTTAGTATTGTTTACCCTTTGGAGGTATTTTTGGACTAACTTGTCTTTTGTCGGCCAAAATCCCCCTGCAGGGGGACACGCCCGACTTAACGCAAAGGGGGGGGCCACAGAGGGGGGGGGGAGTTCGGTTCTGTGGCGCATCAAGCCGCAGCAGGACGATGCAGAACGAGGTCTCCGGCCGCCGCGGGAACCCGAGGGGCGCCGACAATCGGGGCGCGCGGGGGACATCGTTTTTGGGAAATTCGATGCACCAGCGGATCGCACTCTCCCCCCCCCTCAGTCAGGAGGGAAAGAAACGCACAGACACAATGAATCGCCGATTTCCCCGAAGATATGGGCACATATGGGAAGTGGGGGGAAGACAAAACCCAGGAACGTATGGGAAAATATGGGGGGATCCTATGATTTGTGCCTATTGATTTGTGTGCTCCCAGGGGCCCTTCACTCAGGTCTCCCCCCCCCCTTCGGTGGACCCCGACCCCCGAGTCATATGTCGGGGGGCCCTCACGTGCCGAGCCTCGGGGCCGGCTGAAGCGACGCGGGATGAACAAGCTGGCCCCAGTGAGTGGGCCGGGCCTTTTGCCGGGGGTGGACAGACTCGGGCCAGGCGAAAGGGGGGGATTGGGAAAGGGGGGGGGTACGAAATTTGCTGCATGTAGCTGGTAATTGGCCATTGGTGGGCCCATTCCTCGATACATGGCCGCCGGGAAGATCAGCTACGTGAGCTGATTCTCAAACCCCCTCTTTGCTATCCCCCCCTTTCGCCCAGCCAGATTGTCGGGGGTGGACAGACCTCCTACCCTGACACGTCGATTGGCGATTTGGCCGTTTTCGGTTCGCGAGAGGGCGTCGCGGCCGTCACTTTTTGCGGGTCCACTGTCCGTCGGTTTCGGTCCCAGGCCGTTGTCCCTAAAGGGAGGTTTACTAAAGGGAGGTGTGTCCACCGCCGACTTTGGGGGTCGACGTCAGGAAAGAATCACGATGTCGGAGGTCTGGGGGAGGCGCTGTCGAGGCGCAGCTGGTGGTCGGCAGCGCGCCCCGGAGAAGTGAGAGGGCGCGGGCCTTCTTGAGACGGTTCGGACGGCCTTCGACCGAGAAGTTATCGAACACACGAACAACAGCAATATCGGAACAGACGTAAAATTTTCAGGAGTAGATGAGTATAGATAGAGCTTGCTGGATAGTTTTCGGAATGCCAGGTTTCTCATCCAGCCTCGTCTCGACGTCCGTGCTCCTGGAATGGGCTGCCTTTGATGTTCTGCCAGCCTCTCTTTCAGGATTCACGCTCGTAATCATTCTGGCTCAAGATCGCCTGGCGGCGATCGGAACGGGCGCCACGGCGAGTCACTCCCAGGTCGCAGTCTGCGCGCGATCAGCCCTCCTCGCTGGCTCGGGGGCGCTGCTCTGGAGCCAGGTAGCCTGGCATCTGGCGAGCTGGGCTGCTGGGCACTTCGGGCCTGAGGCGGTTCGGGTGCTGACTGTCGCGGGGGCGCGAGGCGTCGCCGCGCTGGGCGAGGCCGCCCACGCTGCCTCTTGCTGGGGCTGGCGCGCGCTGCAGGCGGCAGCGACCTTCGCGAGCTCCCTGCTTGCTCTCGCTTGGGAGCATCGCGGCTGGCTGGCACGGGGAGCCCGAGCCGCCTGGACGCGTGGCCGCGCGGCGCTTGGGGCTG